TCAAATCACACGGTGTCAAAAGACGATGTTCGCGATAAGCAACCTAAAATTAAACAATGCATTTCCCTGAAAGCTTTAACAAAAGACAAACCTCCTCTGGCAGCTGCGACCAGAAATCCTTCTGGAAAAATGGATCGATTAGTATCCCTGAATTTGAAAATTTTGAGCTGTTTTGGGTCTTCTCTTTACCCTTCGAGTTGGATTCTCTGCTGCTCTCCCAGCTTGTCCGACATCTCGCCTAAATGAAAATTACAGCAGAGATAACACCGTAAATTAAACCCTAAGCAAAATACTACCACTAGCTAGCGCCAGTATTGTAATGAGTATCGCTTAGCCGTTCAATGAATGAGCTTTCCAATGAAATAAGTTGATAGCTGTTCTAGAAAGAGAGATCTGAACGTTCAAACATTAACATGCCGTTTGTACCGATAAAATCGATAAACCAGGTCTACCCTTGAGGCACAGCGCGCGCCACCCTGGAACTGGGGAAAAGAGGCTAATAATTTTCGTAGGTGAAAATCCGGTCAACTCTTCTCCCCCCCTCTCATGTCGTCTACGTCATTTACTGTTTTCCGTTGAATCACAGAGCTCGAAAAGCAAAAAAAAACACAAACTGATCAACGTCTGCCAAAGAAGGTTTAAACATAAAGTTTAAAGTGTGACTTAGCTAAAAAGCACAATGGAATGGAGCTTTTTGAAAGCGAAACCACAAAAGATGGCTTTGTGTACATCCTACCGTAGGCCTTTTTGATGGCAAGTTCTAAAACTCGCCCCTTTTCTGTCTGGAAAGAGGACTTTTTGCGATAAAATTCATTCCGACAATTCGTTCAGCATCTTGTATGTACCGTAAATACTGTATTAGTGCCCCCATTTCCTCCAAGTGTACTGTGTCAACTCAAGAGTAAAGAGAATGACCTCAAACAGTTAGTGCCCCAACTTGTTACTAAATTCAAGTTTTTCTAGATGTTATGAGCGATCGTCGTGGAAGTCGTTGTACTTGCGGAAGAAGCGAATCATTTCCAATTAGGGGTCCCGAGTGATTCAATCAAGCACTGTTCTAAAGGTTTAAACAAATGCTTTGGCTAGAAAAATTCTTTTTAGGGTCACGATGAACATTTGATCACGTGTCTACAAATTCACTGCTCTTAATCGTTACTGGTTCAGATGATAATACGTTGCGGGTTTGGAATGTTGATGATGCTCAAGTTTATTTCGTTTTTATTATCCATTTTTGTATGTCTTAATTTAGCCGGCTTTCACTCCTAACTGGTCATATGGGTGGTGTTTGGACGTCTCAAGTGAGCGATGATGGCAATACATTGTCGGGTTAGTTAATAGACTCTAGTTATTGCAATTCATAAGTGTTCCTAATGAAGCTAACAAAATTCTAAACAAAAATTCTTGTGACTACAAAGTTTATTGCTAGAGTACGGTGATGGATCTTGATACTTCCTTTCTACCTTACTCGTGCCCACTGCAAGGTCAAAGACTTTCGTATAGCTTCAAACTTCATAAAACCCACAGAAAACTGATAACTAGTTTTTCAAAAAAGTAAAACTAAAGGCAAAGATTTGTTACAGTGATCTTTAGAAATTTGGTGCAAATGAAACGTGGCGCAGAGGATTTTAGCGTAAAAAACGTGGGGCTTTTGCTAGCATCTCATGAGGAGAAGTTTACGCTCTCGGTGCTCTGAGATTTGAAAGAGCCTATCTACTAGAAAATTTTGAATAGCAAGACAACACTAACTAACTCAAATGCTCCGAACACTTAACTAAGGCTCCGAATGCTGACCGGAATCAAATGTTGACTTAACAAGTCAGTCGAATCCCAAGAGAAGATCTCAAAGTGAAAAATCATTGTTCAACATGATAAGGGCGCATGGCTCGAAGATCACTCGTTCTAAGCTAAACTCATTTGAATGGGAGTTAACCCATCCATCCGAGCACACAGCCCTGATCTTGCACCTTCTGACTACTTTCTCCAGGCGATCAGCAATTATTTGGCCAAAAAATTGATTTCGAAGATGATTTCAAAAAGTGGCTCACGGATTGGTTGGCATTAAAACCTAAAATTTTCTACGAGATAGGCATTCAGTCTTTGCTAGTAAATCGGCTCAAATTATGGAGAATCTTTAGAAGGATTGCATGCCAAATATTGAATAAAACATTTGTTGATTCTTTTTGCCACATTTCACACCCACCAACTAGAAACAGGGAAATTCCAAGACTAAGAAATGGAAAAATTCCAAGCCGAACTTGATTCCACCGTCGTTTTTTTGCCGATCGCTCTGAAATTATAGCAGAAAAAGCTATAACTTTGCGCAGAATGATTATTTTTAATTACTTTTTTGAACTAAAATGCTTAGAAAAGATCGTGAAATAAAATTATTGGACGAATGTTTTTCTATAGTGGACTTTTTCAAAGCTGAAGCCTTCAAACCTCGATCTTGGGTTTGAGATTTTCATACTTTTCCCTTTCTAAAATTTGAGTAATTCTAACAAATCGCTTATAACTTACAATAATAAAAAAAAAAGCTGGAAGTGTCTATTTTAGAATATTGAAAAAGTAAGCAAATTGGTCAAAGGTGAAAGATTTTATAGCCGCTTTACGAACTTAAGTTTTGGCTTTTTTGCGTTTTTTGAAAAAGTTCATTTTTTAAAAACTGTCGATGGAATTTAAAAATGATATCAAGATTCGGATTTAGCACCTTTTTCCCATCGAAAAAGATCATCCGCCGTATGCTGGATGGATTATCCGCCGTATGCTGGATGGATTATCCGCTGTATGCTGGATGGTGTACGATCGCTGTAATGCTCAGGGCTGGATGGATCAGGGTTATGTATGAACTAACTTTGATTGGTTATTATGATGCTCACTGACCATTTACAGTGCGCGGGAGCTTGTAGCAGATAAAGTACTGAACTAGAATATAGTTCGATGTTAAGATACTATTATATTTAAGGTTTGGATCAAAAAGCAAAACGTCTGACCGGAGGCGGATTTGCAAATCGGAGAGTCTAAGAATAAGTACTTGTAACGACCGAATTCGGGACGACTGAAAAGGATTAAACTTTAACGGGGCACGGTACTTGAAGTGTAACCAAAAATATTTCATATTATTCCCACCTGTATCTAGCTATCAAAAATATTAGCGAGAATCGCAAAATTCCAACGATAACTTCCAACAATTTTTCGTTAACTATATGGCAAGATAAATGGTTTAAACTTGCTCACAAATAAAAGGAAACAGGCTAAACTTTTTAACTTTTTTCTATAAACAGTAAAAAAAAGGCGAATCGGTGACGCGAAAACGATTGTTTTTGAGGCTTTTATAGGTAGGGAAATGTGTTTTCTTATTGAAAACAGCGAAAACTAAAATTGTAGTAGAAAACTGAAAAAAAGTTGCTTTGAAGTTGGAAAAAAGTTATTTTTTACAGGGATTTTCAAAAAACTCACCGTATTCGTGTATTTAAAGAGACTTTGCGATAAATTTCATTCTGGTCAATTCTTTTAGTAGGCTTATATACCGTAAATACCCTAATAGTACCCCATCCCTCTAGTGCCCATTGGGTAGACTAGCTTATCGATTTTATCGATTTTAGGTCCTGTTTCAGCTGGCTTTCACTCTAACTGGCCATATGGGTCGTGTTTTGACGTCTCAAGTGAGCGATGATGGTAAATACATTGTCAGGTTAGTTAGTTAATAGGATCTAGCTAGTGCAATTGATAAGTGTTGTCAAAGAAGCTAACAATTTTCTAGGCAAAAATACTTGTGACAACAAAGTCTATTGCAATATTTAAGTGGCTCGTCTGAGCAAACCGTGCGCAGCGTCATGTTCTGCAGGGGCATACGGGTACTGTCACCTGCATGAGTCTACATGGCACAACGTGAGTAACCTAAATTTTGTGTTTTAGCTAAGATCATAATGTTTTAGTCTTGTTTCTGGATCGCGCGATCAAACGCTCCGAGTCTGGGACATTGTCGACGGGAAATGCCTTCACATTTTGGCTGACCACTTGAAGGGGGTGTGTATCAAAGTTATAGCCTAAGCAAAGTTAAATTTCAGGTGTTTTTTGTTTTGAAGTTCACTGACCAACGCCTTCGATCACCTACCCTAAATAGGGTTTGACGGATAACGAAAATTTTTTGACTCGGAAAAAAACAATGGCCTTAGGCCTACTATGTTCAAATGTGCCGTGTACTTTTCCACGTTCGCTGCTCACATGTTCCTAGTAACCAAATCCCGCTTACCATTTTGTTGCAAGTTTACCGTTTCTTTTATTTGTGAGCCAGTTTAAGCCATTTATCTTGTATGTGTAAATTGTGTAACGAAAGCGACCTACACAACTGAAAGCAATAGAAAAACCGGCTGTCGGCCTACTATGTTCAAACGTGCCATGTACTTTTCAACGTTCGATTGCTCACACGTTCCAAGTCACAAAACCCTGCTTGCCATTTTGTTACAAGTTTGTCTTTTTTATTTGCGAGCCAGTTTAAGCCATTTATCTTGCATGTGTAACGAAAAGGAAAGCAACACAAAACAATCACACAAGGGAACTCTTGACAGAAAAAGGAAAAGATTGTTGTTAAGACGATAATTTTCAGCAAATAAAAGCAGGTAAATGGCAAAATAAAGGTAAACAAAATGTGAATTTTGGCATACAAGAAAGAAAAAAGTGGGAAATATTGGAAAGGAAAATGACAAATGTGAACCGAGAGCGGCATGAAAACTCATTGAAAGCCGAAAAAAATTCTTCAGAAAATCACAATAATGCAATAGACCAACAATCCGAATATAACTATGGATAAGTTGCGTCAAAATCGATCAAGAGGAACTTTGTCTTGTCCTCGTTTCTGTATTCCGATCTAATTGCACATAGGAGAAATGTTTCGGTCGCGAAGATATGCCGAGTCCTATTCCCTCCTTGAAGACGAACGAGGTCACGAACAAAGATACCTCAAAATCACAAAAACTCTCGTATAGTTGACAAAAAAATTAACGACCCTGAACATAGATTTAAACTTGAATAGTTAATGAGCCAAATCATGTAGTTATTAAATTCTACTTTAGAAGAAAACTTGAAGTCTGGACAAATTTGCTTATCTTATCGCCTACATTACTGGGTAATTCAGAACAACATACCTTTATCCACATCCCACAGCTTGACCGCGCCATCATTCGAACTTGTTACCAAAAGTCCTGAATCGAGCAATTGGAATGAAGTGATGTACGACGTGTGACTATTTACGTCTTGCAGGCGAGGAATGAACGAACCACCGTCACGAATGTCCCAAACCTAAAGAAAAGGCAGTAGTTGTCATACGATTGATCAAACGTACCCCAACCTCCCGGTCGGTATAGCAAGCGACCAAACTGTTTCCGCGAAGTTGCATGTCAGAGCCGTAAATCCTATGAGTGCGAAGAGTCGCGATGCATGCTTAAAGAAACAAATATAGTAGAGATTGCAACAGAATAGCGAACCAGTAAAACCTACTTCCTCTTCGCACATCCCAGACGCGACTCGTATCACTTCCCGAGACGACAAGATCACGCTCAGGCTCAAACTAAAACAGAATGATTCAAGCCAAAAATTGAAAATGCAACTCACCAAAAGTGAATAGACTGGCTCCGTCTGATCCGTCAGCGTGTGCAAACACTCCCCCGTCTGCACACTCCAAACCTTATCGAATATCATAAAATTGTACAAAAAAAGCATTAAATACCTTTACAGTACAATCATCGGCACCAGACACAACCCGAATTCCATCAAATTGCACACAGCAAACCTGAAATTTAACTTTGCTGAAGCTATAACTTTGATACACACACCTCCACCAAGTGGCCAGTCAAAATGTGAAGGCATTTCCCGTCGACAATGTCCCAGACTCGGAGCATTCCATCGCACGATCCAGATACAAGACTAAAACATTATGCTTTTGGCCAAGGTATAAAATTTAGATTACTGACGTTGTGCCATGTTGACTTATGCAGGTAACACCACCTGTATGCCCCTGCAGAACATGACGCTGTACACCGGTTCGACCACACCAAACGCGCACCGTTCGATCAGACGAGCCACTTAAATATTTTAATAGACTTTGTTCTCATAAGTATTTTTGTCTAGAAAACTGTTAGCTTCTTTGACAACACTTATCAATTGCACTAGCTAGATCCTACTAACCAACTAACCTGACAATGTATTTACCATCATCGCTAACTTGAGACGTCAAAACACGACCCATATGGCCAGTTAGAGTGAAAGCCAGCTGAAACAGGACGTAAAATAATGGTAAAACGAAACAAACTTGAGCATCATCAACATTCCAAACCCGCAACGTATTTCCATGATTAGATGCAGCAACGATAAGACCAGAGTGAACTTGTAGACAAACGTTCGCATCTCCATCATGAGCCTAAAACCCATTTTTTATAGCCAAAGCATTTGTCCAAACCTTTAGAACAGTGCTTGATTGAATCGGTCGGGATCGCCAATTGGAAATGATTCGCTGCTTCCGCAAGTACAGTGACTTCCATGACGATCGCCCATAACACCTAGAAAAAAATTTAATTCAGCAACAAGTTGCGTCACTAACTGTCCATATGCGATCTCGCGTTCTCGTCGATTCTGATGTGCTTCTTGAAAGTCCATATGTGAGAAGATTGTGATCTCCGCTTCCTCATTTGCTCGATTCGTCGCCCAGCCTCCGAGAAAACGAAAACTGAACCAAAATAAGTTAGTGAGAAGCCTGTGACGAATCCTTTACTAATGGTATTCTTAAATCTGATCCAGTTCATCGAAACAAACATTATCATTTGTTTTCCTTGGCTTTACACCTTTATTTGCTTTAGAATTAATAACATTATTGCCCTATACCTTAGAAGTGTAAGATCTAGTTTAATCTAAATCTATCAGATATGTATTTTTAACTATATATTATTTGCTCAAAACTGAACACACCTTGGGGCATCAAATTTCACATATCCTTTCTCCAAGCATTTCTGTTGCCACGTCCGATCATCTTCACAAATTCGCTGCCACGTCCGCGAAACGCCAGCACAAACCGTCAAATCGCGCGGTGTCAAATGGGCGATGATGCGATAAGCAATCTAAAAATTAAACAATTAATCCCACAAACTTTAACTAAAGACAAACCTCCTCTGGCAACTGTGACAAGAAATCCTTTTGGAACAATGGATCGAAGATATCCCTGAATTTAAAAATTTCACTGTTTAAGGCCATTTTCTTTACTCTTCAAGTTGAGTATTTGCATCACCAGCCACTAAGAGCGCGTTCCAGTCGATGACCTTAAACAGTGAAATTTTCAAATTCAGGCATCTCATCCAGCCATTATTCCAAAAGGATTTCTTGTCACAGTTGCCAGTGGAGGTTTGTCTTTTGTTAAAGCTTGTGGAATTAATTGTTTAATTTTAGGTTGCTTATCGCATCATCGCCCATTTGACACCGCGCGATTTGGTGACTTGTGCTCGTGTTTCGCGGACGTGGCAACGGATTTGTGAAAATGATCGAACATTGGCGACAGAAATGCTTGAGAAAGGTTCAAACGTGCCGTGTACTTTTCAACCTTCGATTGCTCACATGTTCCAAGTCACAAGCTTACCATTTTGTTACAAGTTCACCGTTTCTTTTTATTTGCGAGCCAGTTCAAGCCATTTATATTGCATGTGTAAATTGCGTAACGAAAGCGACCTACACAACTGAAAGCAATAGAAACATCGCTGGAAACAATCACACAAGGGAACTCTTGACAGAAAAAGGAAAAGATTGTTGTTATGACAATAATTTTTAGCAAATAAAAGCAGGTCAATGGCAAAATAAAGGCAAACAAAATATGAATTTTGGCATACAAGAGAGAAAAAAGTGGGAAATATTTGAAAGGAAATCACAAAGGCCAACCGAGAGAGCCATGAAAACTCATTAAAGCCGAAAAAATTCTTGAGAAAATCACAATAATGCAATACAGTTACAATCCGAATCTAACTATGGATACGATGCGTCAAAATCGAACAAGATGAACCTTGTGTGTTGCCTGTATCTGCCATCCGTGCTAATTTCACATAGGAGACATGTTTCGGTCGCGAAGACACGCCGTAAACTATTGCGTCCCCAAAAAGAACGAGGTCACGAACAAGGATATCTCAAAATCACAAAAATTCTCGTATAGTTGACAAAAAAATTAATCACCCTGAACATAGATTTCAACTTGAATAGTTAATGAGCCAAATCATGTAGTTATTAAATTCTACCTTAGAAGAAAACTTGAAGTCTGGACAAATTTGTTATCTTATAACCTACATTACTAGGCAATTTAGAACTACTTACCTTTATCCACATCCCACAGCTTGACCAAGCCATCGTAAGAACTTGTTACCAAAAGTCCCGAGTCGAGCAATTGCAATGAAGTGATGGTCGACGCGTGACAATTTACGCCTTGCAGGCGATGAACGCACGAACCACCGTTACGAATGTCCCAAACCTAAAGAAAAGGAAGTCATAGGATTGATTAAACGTACCCAAACGTTCCTGTAGGTATAGCAGGAGACCAAAATGTGTCCGCGAAGCTGCACGTGAGAGAAGAAGTGATCCTGAATCGAATCAAGAATCGCGATGCATGCTGAAAGAAACAAATATAGAGGAGATTGCAAAAAAAAATAGCGAACAAGTAAAACCCACTTCCACTTCGCACATCCCAGACGCGAATCGTTTCACTATTTCCCGAGACGACAAGATCGCGCTCTGGCTCAAACTAAAATAGAAACCTGATTAAGGCCAAAAAATGACCATTCACCCACCAAAAGTGATACGACTGGCTTCGTGTGACCTGTCAGCGTGTGCAAACATTCCTCCGTCTGCACATTCCAAACCTTATAGAATATTACAAAATTGAACAAAAAAGCATTACAAACCTTTACAGTACAATCATCGGCACCAGAGACAACCCGTTTTTCCATCAAATCGTACACAAGGCACCTGAAATTTAACTTTGCTAGGCTCTAACTTTGATACACGTACCGCCGCCAAGTGGCCAGCCAAAATGTGAAGGCATTTCCCGTCGACAATGTCCCAGACTCGGAGCGTTTGATCGTGCGATCCAGAAACAAGACTAAAACATTATGATCTTAGCTAAAACACAAAATGGAGATAACTCACGTTGTGCCGTGTAGACTCATGCATTCAACAGTATTCGTATGCCCCTGCAGAACATGACGCTGTACACCGGTTTGAACACACCAAACGCACACCGCTTGATCAGACGAGGCACTTAAATATTTCAATAAACTTTGTTGTCACAAGTATTTTTGTCTAAAAGTTTGTTAGCTTCATTGGTAACACTTATGAATTGCCATAACTAGAGCCTATTAACTAACCTGACAATGTATTTACCATCATCGCTCACTAGAGTAGTCCAAATGCGACCCATTTGGCCAGTTAGCGTGAAAGCCAGCTGAAACAGGACGTACAATCATGGTAAAACGAAACAAACTTGAGCATCATCAACATTCCAGACCCGCAACTTTTTATCATTATTAGAATCAACAATGATAAGACCAGAGTGAACTTGTAGACAATTGATCGAATGTTTATCGTGGCTCTGAAAACAATTTTTATAGCCGAAGCATTTGTCCAAACCTTTAGAACAGTGCTTGATTGAATCGGTCGGGATCGCCAATTGGAAATGATTCGCTGCTTCCGCAAGTACAGTGACTTCCATGACGATCGCTCATAACATCTATATAAATTTAATTTAGCAACCGGTTGCGGCACTAACTGTCCATATGCGATCTCGCGTTCTCGTCGATTCTCATGTGCTTCTTGAAGGTTCATATGTGAGAAGATTGTGATTCCCGCTTCCTCATTCGCTCGATTGGCCGCCCAACCTCCGAGAAAACGAAAGCTAAACAAAAACAAGTTAGCGACGAGTCTTTTTCTAATCGTACTCTTAAATGTGAAAAACTCTTGTGCTTAAAACAAACATTATCATTTGTTTTCTTTCGCTTTATATCTTTGTTTGCTGTAGAATTAATAGCAGTATCATCCTATACCTTCGAAGTGTTAAAATCTAGTTTAATCTAAATCTATCAGATATGTATTTTTAACTCTTACATTATCTGTTCAAAACTGTAACAAACCTTGGCGCATCAAGTTTCACATATCCTTTCTCCAAACATTTCCGCCGCCACGTTCGATCATCTTCACAAATTCGCTGCCACGTCCGCGAAACACGAGCACAAGTCATCAAATCACGCGGTGTCAAATGGGTGATGATGCGATAAGCAACCTAAAATTAAACAATTAATTCCACAATTCCACAAAAGACAAACCTCCTCTGGCAACTGTGACAAGAAATCCTTGCTCTCCGACTTGTCCGACATCTCCCCTAAATGAAAAAATACAGCAAAGATAACACCGTAAATAATAAAAACCTCCGAGCAAATTACTACCAACGTAAATACTGGAATAGTACCCGACCCGTGGGTAGACTTGGAAAACGAGATTATCTATACAAAGGGGAAGTTCATGTTTGAGCCTACGAGTATCTACGGTAGATAAGCCTACTAAAAGAATTGACCAGAATGAATTTTATCTCTTTAAAAAGTCTCTTTGGATACACGAATAGGGCGCGTTTTAGAACCGGCTATCAAAAGGCCTACGGTAGTATGTACAGAAAACCATATTTTGGGGTTCCACCCAATTTTTGCCCCTTTCAGATCCGAGTCGCTCTCTTTGCCGATTTGGGATTGAAAGAGGCCGGGAAACTGCCGCAAACCTCGCCACTTTGCAGAATTTTGTCAAGGACGGCAAAATCGATATCTTTTTCCATATTGGTGAGTGCCAACTTGAATGCGAATACATTTTTGCTGACTTGGCTGGCTTAGCTTTTAGGCACTGGTGTTGGGTCTCTGATATGGCTTAAAACTTGGCATTTTTCAAGCCAGATCAAATCAAAAGCCTCTGTTTTGTTTTCATTGGTTACTTTCGTTTAATTTTTCGAGGAGAGTAGCTTTTAGAGAACTTGCTAAACCTGAAAAGCTCCTGAAAATGAACTTGGACTTAGTGCGAAGGCTAGCGGCTAGCGCCTCGCACTAAGTCTATTTGGATTTGGGCTTAACTTTGACTTTGAGCAGTTTCGAGTGTATTTTCCTATAATGAAATTTAGCTTCGATGTTGGCGATGTGCATTTCGTCGGGATGAGCTCGGAATATCATCAATATCGAATGTACGATCAAGCACATGATTTGGTCGATTGGCTGAAGAGTGATCTGTCCAAGGTGGGGAAAATCTAGCTTTTACCAGCTTTAGCGAGAATTTTGGTGCAAAATTGACCAGCACGATCAGCGAAATCAAAGATTTCTTTGATAAGCAAAGCCTTAAAAACATTGTATCTATAATATTCTGCTCAATTCCTAGACGACCAAGCCGTGGATCGTCTCAATGATGCATCGGCCAATGTATTGCTCGGCCCATTGTGATACTTTCGAGAATATGGTGGTGAGTGGAGTCAAAACACGGTCGAGAAAACAGACAGACAGACAGACAGACAGCCGACAGACGGGCAGAGAGAAACTACCGTAACCCAGTCGTCAGTTTCCATGGAATCCAATTCTTTGTACCATTGTTTGATCTCTTATGATCTTCCTACCGTGTGTGACCAAAATTGGGCTGTTTTACTGACAATTGGCTTTAGTTACGGTAGTTTTCTGTGCTTTTTAGGAAATGCAATCGCCAAGAGCACCTGATTGTCTAAATTCCTTTAAATCGCTTGCAAACATCTCTCAAAAACCAGATGAAGGCTAAAATCTAAAGCATTTTTACCCAATTTCCAGTTGCGCAAGGGCTCCGGCTCTGGCAAAGAAGAGCTGCCCGCCATTGAGCCATGGTTGGGCAGGAATGGAGTCGATTTGGTGTACACAGGACACAAACATTACTACGAAAGGTTGGGAAATAGATTCGAATATAATTAAAGACTTTTCAAGAATGTACCCGATCTATGGTGGAGTGATGTCGATGGTGAAAGATCCGAGGAATATCCACAACCCTCAAGCACCCATTCACGTGTTGTCCGGATCAGCGGTATGAGGAATTTTGTGTAATTGGGATTGTTATACTAGAAAATTTGGTATGCTTTCTAAAGCCTAGTTCCCCGCAGCATCACTAGAAGGTTTGGTCAAGCTAAAAGACCCCTAAACTATCGTAATTAAACCGCTAGTTTACATTCCGATTACCCCGAAGAGTCTTCATATCGAAAGTGACCTAAATTGAGCTCTTCCATAGCCAAATGTTGAGTTTATAGCGAAAAACGAAGGCTTTTTGTCGAAAATAGGTATGTTTTAGAAAGTGGCTTAACTGAGAGGAGCATTTCAAAATAATCTATCATTTAGCAGCTAAAAACTAGAAAATTTTTATTTTGTGATGCTTTTTGTAATTTGGAAATCGATCTGAGATCTGAGTCGTGAGCATTCAACTCTTTTTTTAAATCAAAGTTTTTCATCAGTGAGTCAAAAATCCACAAGCCAAGCTGAGTTCCTGGCTTTGAGTGTGAAAATTTGGGTGTGAAAGCCAGCCGTGGTTTGAATCATTCGAAAAAAAAACTGAATACAAATTTCCAGGGTTGTCACACGCACATCCCGGCCAGTGACATCAAGAGACTCCCCTACAGTGCTTATCTCAGCGATATGTACGGATTCTCGTGTGAGTCTCTTTGGCTTAAGATCTTTAAGGGCTTTTTCCCGATTTGTGACCGTAATCCCTCGCTTTATATGTGTCGTAGGCGATTATGATTTTGAGAATGAGTGAGTCTAGGCGGGTCCAGCCATCAAGTATTTGGTCTCATTCAACGCAGAATCATTGATAATTATGTTAAATTTGATAATTTCCTATAATGTCCTCACAGCATCAATCCCATTATGCTCCCACACGCATCATTCCCGTTATACCGTTATCCCATTTTAAAAAAATGAACAATTAACAACATTCAATCCCATTATACCCCACAAATGGCAGATTTTAAAAAAAGCTTTTCTAATGTTCTAACTACAATCCACATTTCATAATGACACCCAATAAATTCACAATTCAATTTTTGGAGGCCATTTTGCAGGTCAATTCTTTCACGAACCCAATCAAAGTAACCGACCTTTCCCAAATCAGTTCTGACCATGAATTCCGCAAGGTAGCTTTCCAAATGATGACGTGATGTACCGCGGTCCTTCTTATTTGCGCTTCCCCATAGCCACTTTGCTTTGCGCTTCCCCATAGCCGCTCGATAGTTTGTGTGTGAATAGAAGCGTCAGTTGAATTGAGAAAGTTCTTCGAGTTCTTCTTTGGGAAAAACATCATTCGGATAAATACTAATTTTTTTAAATGTGGGGTTATAAGGGATTGATGCTGTGGGGGTGTAACGAGAATGACGCTGTGGGGGTGTAACGGGAATGATGCTGTGGGGGTATAATGGGTGAGTACCTTAAATCTTTTAGATTAGAAAGATTAGATAAAACGAAAGAAAATTACGACGCTTCAAAGTTTTCTCTCAAACAAACAGTTTTTTTGGTCTAATTTTTTTTCTTCTTATCAAATCTGCTAATTTAAAAAATTTAAGATAATTATCAATGATTCTGCGTTGAATGATACAAAATACTTGATGGTTGGACGCGCCTAGATCCACTCATTCAAAATCGGCTGAAATTCATGATCGGCCCGCCGATTTTGAATGAAACGTTGTAGTGACCGCAATTTCTAATCTAAACTCCCAAATTTGGTACGAATCTATGCACAATTTAATTAGCTACTAAAATATATAATATTGTCTTTATAAATCAAAAGTTTGACCTACTAGAAAAATTTCATTCATAATCAGCTAGGACAAATGCAAATTTAGTGCATTTTTTAGTGCTCAACGTGCACAATGCCACCCACGTTTTCTCGTCGTTTATCCACGCTGAAACGGGGAATGCCCACGATGAAACGTGGATTTCGAAAGATAAAAGATATCGGCCGAGAATTGGATAAAATTGGGGAAAGGAAATGCGAATAAATACTGGAATAAACAAGAAAATAAAAGAAAAAAAACAAGAGTGAAAACTTTAGCTGCGAAAGCACATAGACAAAAATAAGAGTCTTTTTGGATCTTTTGCAAAAACCACCCGCCAATATAACGATAGAAATATCGAGGAAACTCAAAGCTGAAAAGCTGTCAATTAATACAATGGACCACCAAAAGAGTTATCCCGGCTGCCGGAATGCCAATTCTGAAAATGATCCAAAGCCATTTCCTCGACTTCGGATTGTTTTTTTTAGGGTTTTGTACGCGAAATAGGGCAGGAAGAGGCCTAAAAGCAAAGATTTCTTCTTTTACTACATTCAAATGCAAATATTTATTCATTTTATTCAATATTAAACTTTACGGTAATAATACCAGTAACAGTATTGTTACACGATCCCATTTTCCTCAGCCTCAGAATCCGAATTAGTGATTTTTGACAGGATTTACTGGCTTTTGATTCTTTGTCTTTGACGTTTTTGCTTTTATAACTTGAATTTTTCTTTTTCTTGATTTAATTTTTGTTTTAGGAATTAGGCAGGGGCATTTTCTGCCGTCGAATCGAACAGATCACGAAAATCCAACTTTCCGATGAGCCATTTCGCCGCCGATATCACTTTACACATCATGTCTATGTCTGTCTGTACAATTCATGAGCCCATTCTTGTGACAAGGGTATTCGAAGAAGCTTTCACTGCAATTTCGAGTTGCTGTGAGGCTTCGATATTTGGCGAGCAATTCGTTTCAAAATGTGATCGCTGATCTCTTGGAATCTCTCAGCAGACCGTTTCACGACTTCTCCACAAAGCGATCGTTGTTCTCTTGATCGATCTTCAAATTGTCAGTCAATTTTTGAAATACCTGTTCAGACGGCGAGAAGGATTGATGTACGATGACATTCGGTAATGTACTCCCAACTATTTGGGGTTCTCTCGATGGCACATTGATTCCAATAGTTCCACCAACGCATCATCACCACAAATTCGACGACATGGATCGATGAAGAAGGCTTAGGGAAGAAGAATTTCGATATGCCGATGAGTCGTGTGTTGCACCTGCGTTCGTTAAAACTTGATTTTTCAGATTGATAAAATTCCCTTGTTAATCCATGTCTCAAAACTCATTCAATTCACTTTAGATAGGTGCCGCTGCTGTGCCGGGTCTCATTGTCGTGATCGCTCAGCGGACTTGCTCAACCGTTGATGCCGAATTGGAGGCCTGTCGGAGGAATAAGAGCAAACGGCTTGTGGGAATTTTAAAAGCATCTTTAAAAACAAGTTGACAAAGCTAGGTTAAGAAAGTTGCGTTATTGGGTATTGAGTTGGTGTAGACATG